TTACCAGGGATGTCCCATATCCTGAAGTACAATGTACAGTGTGTTTTTGTTTTTTTTGTCACCAACTGTATGTGTGTGACGTGTTTCGTGTGCTGAGCGATCATAAAGGACTGAGAAGAGGTTCCAGGTGAGGCAGGCATCTTGCCTCATGACAGGGGGCGCTCTGATCCCAGACATTCTTCTTGTGACTCCAAGCTCAGTGCAATCTACAATGAGCAAGTCTGACGGAAGATAAGCAGAGTTTTAAAAAATTGTTTTCAGAGTAACATGTTTTTGTCGAGAAGGAGCGGTACATGGACTTCATGTAGAAGTAAAGGTAAGACCACAATAACTTTTTTTTTTTTTTTTTAAAGGAAATGTGCGTTTTGTGGGCTTCAGCTTATATATATGTTTTCTACTGCACTACACCTCCTGGCCGCTGGGGGGCGCTGGCTAAATCCCTGCCGCCTTTGGGCCTGTTTACTTCCGGGGCGTCCGTCGTTGGTTTGTAGCGGTGGAGCGGTGGTAATGTTGTTGCATGTGTGAGATTTTGTCCAGGGAGACGAAGCTTTTATCACTGAAAACACCTGAATTTCTTCATCTGCGTTACAACACCAGTATTTACCGCCACAATGACTGAGGTAAGACGATGGTTCAAGTCTTTTTTTTATCTTTTTTTTCTCCCGCTCAGCTGCTGAACACTATCGGGCCAGGCTAATTACTGGAACGACATAGGTTTACCTTTTTTTTTTGTTTGTATGTTTGACATTAAATATTAAATTGCTGTCTTTTTACGAATTAAATGCCACTTTTTAAAATGAACTGTTCTCTTTTACAGGATGTCCAGAAGCACTCAGTCCACACTCTGGTCTTCAGGTCTCTCAAAAGGACTCATGACATGTTTGTGTCCGACCACGCCAAGTCCATCGCACTGGATGATGAAAGGTAACTCACATTAATAACGAAGCTTTTTATCCCATGTATTTACAAATACATGAAAGGATCCACAGCTCCTGGTGTTCAGCATTTATCTAGATCAGCTTTAGCTTAGGTGTTGCCGTGTTAGCTGTAGGTTACGTTGTGTGGTCAGAAGCCGTGAAAATGTCTGTGTTTCTGGTTTCATGACTAAAAGCTTCCTTAATAGGCTAGAAAAGCATGTCCAGTAGCTGATCGGAGGTTTTAAGTTATCCAGTAAAGCAGAATGAGCATTCAAAATAACTTAGTCAGCACTCTCTGGACTTTAATGTACATTTATTTGTAATTTATGACCAAATGATGAGCCTGTAACTGTGCCTGTCCATAAATAAGGAAAGTATTGAACGTTGACATACATTCATTTGCCAGTTTCTTTGGTACATTTTGCTGTTGCACTCTTACCATGAATTGTACAAAGGTGATGATGTTAGGGTTATGATTGAACTAACTGATCACTTCATAGGCTGTTTGTGATGCTATGGAGGGATTTTTTTTGCTGACAAGGGATGCATGATATTGAAGAACATTGCAGTTTTCTATTTTCCTGCTATATGTATTGCAATATGAAAAAAATGTGGATAGCTTGAGTATAACTTGGCAACAAAACCCTGCAGCCTTCCCTGTGTTAGCTGCATTGTCTGTGTTATACGGACTGGCATCGAGACTTCTCTCTCCTCTGTTGTGATGTCCCCACTTGTATGGACTTAACGCAGAAATGCCGCTTGCAAATAGCAACTCATTCAGTTGTTAGTCCATTAATTGATACAACCACCACAACATGGCCCGAGGTCGATAGCTGGACTCTTCTCCTCTGTGGTTCCCCGGTGGTGGAACGAGTTACCAAACTCTGTTCAATCTGCTGACTCCCTCTTAGTCTTTAAGAAAAGACTAAAGACCCAGCTCTTCACTGAACACCTTTGCACTTGACTGCCCAAGAACAAACAAATATAAAACAAACAAACAAACAAACAAGAAAAGAAAATTACCTCCCACACAGCCTGCTATTGGCATCAACGCCCTATCACACTTGAATTTGTTCTATGGCACTTATCTAGATTGTTTTCTCCTGACTAGATCCTTGCTTGTGTTGTATCTGCTCTCAGATGTACGTCTCTTTGGATAAAAGCGTCTGCCAAATGAAATTGTAGAATTGTATTATATCAGTGATTTCTGGCTGTCATTGAGATCTTTTCTCATGTTGTGTATTACTGGAAAAATCATCCAAAATAGATTTTTGCCTTGGATTGCATTCAGATCTGGCTTAGCTGTCATCATACAGAGTTTTGGGGTCCTGGTCTAAATAGTTAAATTACTCCTGTTGTTGCGTGTGGTGGCAACAAATACAGACAGAACACCTGTTTTTGGTCAACATCGTCCTTTCTGTGGCTACAACATTTCCATAGAACAGATTTTGCTTTTCAGATCTCATAAATCCGGATATTCGGTTTCAGCCCTGTATATAACAAGAACTGTTTTCATTTTTTTGTTTTGTTTTGTAGAAAACAACATGATCAGATCATTATTGTATGATGCTCAGTCACCTGGTTAGTACATAATGGGTTTTGAAAGAGAAATACATCATTGTCTCTTGTATTTTCAGCCATAAGGTTAAGATGGGTGTGAAACTGAGAACAGAGTACGATGCAGTTTTACACATGCCCGTCCTGAAGGAAGGCAAAGACCGAGTCTCACAGCTTCCAGGCAGCATGCAAGGCCACCAAGGCTACGCACAGCCAGGTGAGGAGGAAACCAACACTGCACGTCAGCTTAAGTTTGTTAACAAGTTGTTAAGTTTGTTGAATTAAAAATATAAGGGAAAAGCAAAAAGTGTGTCTGTATGCTTCCAGTGTTAAGAATGTCTTCTAGTTCAATTAGACTCATTTTAAGACAGACTCTGTGTTTTCCTGAGTACTTCGGTTCCAAGATGTCTTGTTTGGGGTGTTTATTTTTTTCTAATATGTTTTAGGTGAAGACCCGGAATACCTGATCACCGGGACACATGCGTACCCCTCTGGACCTGGTAATTATTGTTATTCGGCCGATCCTGTGATTGATTGTAGCCGTTATCGGCGAACTGCATCAGCATTATTCATTATCATCAGTGCTGACACCAGTAACTCTGACTCAACAGGACTGGCATTGACTGCTGACACAAAGCTGCACAGAAATCCCAGTGAGGGAGGAGTGCACTCCATGGCGTTGGCTTTACCACCCTCACAAGCGCGGTAAACTTGTCCCTACATGGTTTAAAAGTTGATGAAGTTATTGGTAATACTTTGGCATAAACGCATGAGACAAAGTGAAAGATACAACGGATTCATGTGTAAATCACGTCTGCTCTGTTGTGCAATTTTAGGCAGGAAGCCAGTCGCACTGCAGCCAGTGTTGCTGACATCCATCGACACGCAGGAGGAGCAGAGCGAGCACACCCTCAGTCATCTGTAGTGGTAGGCCACAGTGTCATTTCACATAAAACTGACCTGATAACTTGGTTATCTTTGTGACTCACATGGAAGAAATGCAGAGCTGACTATTAAAGTGTTTATTCTAGTCACTCATGGAGGGAGGTGGGACCAGAAATTCGGCGCTCATGAGGAGAGCACCAACAATGCCTAAACCCCAGTGGCATCCACCATGGAAACTGTTTCGGGTAACGCATCATTTAACTTTTCCAAAGTTGCACAGGAGGGACGCATCTGGGATGTGCCTGGTGTTTTTTTTAAATGTTGTATGTTTTGTCTGATAGGTCATCAGTGGTCACCTCGGCTGGGTGAGGTCCATCGCTGTGGAGCCTGGGAATCAGTGGTTTGTCACAGGATCCGCTGATAGAACTATAAAGGTGAGTCAAGCTAAGAGATGACAAACAAATTCTATCTCAATTATCTCTTGGATTAAATATTTTGTGTATATAATGTCAAAAGTATTTAGAAGCATTAACCTCTGATGTTCTTGATGTATGTTTGATATTTATACAGTTAACTGGTTGTCAAAACCAAAACACCATAAACTATGAGCATGAAAGCTCATTTTTGATTCTGGAAACAGTAGTTTGACAAAATAATCTCAATTTAGGGTGCACTTTTTTTTTTTTTTTATCTCCAAAGCTTTATGCTGCATCTTATGGTCTTCATCAGCAAATTGAAGTTGGATCCCCTGACATGGATTAATGTCAGTCTGTTCACATGATGGCAACTTTAAGTCACTGACTGACTTCTCTTGATGTCACCTTTATGTGATCCATTTAAATCCATTTAGTCCACTGTATTCTGTGTAGATTTACACATACCAGAGTGGTTGATAGCAGCATTAACACACTGCTGTTAACAGCTACACATACAGTTTGTTTTGGATTGTCAAGTAAGAGCAAAAGTTGCTTTTTCTTCATCTACAGCTGTAACTTTCACCTCATGGTGGCACTCTGGATAGACCGTTTCTGAGAATGTTGTGTAATGATCCTCAGGTGACTTGAAGTCTGTTTGTTTTGACAGATCTGGGACTTGGCCAGCGGAAAACTGAAACTCTCTCTGACCGGACACATCAGTACAGTACGTGGTGTGGCAGTCAGCAACCGCAGCCCTTACCTCTTCTCCTGTGGAGAAGACAAGCAAGTCAAATGCTGGGATCTGGAGTACAACAAGGTACGTTATTAACACGAGTTTGCAGGCAAGTGGAGGTTCCTGGGAGGGATTCTTTTAAACTGAAGTAAAATCAAACATCTGTAGTTTAGAGTACAGCATTATTTTTTCAGTCGTAGTATTTTGGAAGTCTCTTTACAGCTACAGTGTGTGTTTTAGGTCATCAGGCACTACCACGGGCATCTCAGTGCCGTGTATGATTTGGATCTACATCCAACCATCGATGTGCTGGTGACGTGCAGCAGAGATGCCACAGCAAGGGTAAGCTCATACTGTCCATGTCGAATGTACAGATGTCAACATAAGTCCGCTTGGCAGGGTGAGGGGTCACATTTTTATAATTTTGTCCAGTTTGAAATCCACTGCTGTTGATGAATTATCCAAAACATTTGAATTAAGGTCACAAGGATTCAAAAATAACCTGTTAGTCAGAAAGAGTTTTTCTGAAGATTCTGATTGCACGGTAGTCTAAACAAACCACATTACAATTAACAATTTCTTTGATAAGCGTTAGGTTTGGACTGCTCACAGCCATAATTTACATTCTGTGGCCTCCAGACTGTGGTTGTGCCTTTGGCTCTGTGTTATATCAGGCTTCTGGCTATCAGCATCTGCACCTCACACCCATACAATTCTCAGAGAATAGGAGTTAAATAATGGAAATGTGGTGTTGTCTTTAACCAAGTAGTTGGTGTGTTTTAGTTTAATCTCGTCAAGTAATAAGGATGTATACTGTGGGTTACTTAGAGGGACCGGCTGTCTGCCAGAGGACTGTATTTGTATATGATATGCCAGTAACTGAGTTCCTGCTGGGTTAAATAGTTAGACAAGCTGGTTTTCCTCCCTGTTCTTATAGGTGTGGGACATCAGGACCAAAGCCAATGTGCACACACTAACCGGTCACACCAACACTGTAGCCACAGTGAGATGTCAGGCAGCAGAACCACAGATCATCACTGGTAAATATATTTTACTCTCATAACTGGATGCAGTCCCTCAACAGGACAGTGTTTACTGTGAAGTTCTAGCCTGTTAGTTGTGTTTCTACCATTAATCCCTGACTGATATGTGATTTCTTTTTGTAGGCAGTCACGATTCAACCATCAGGCTGTGGGATCTGATTGCTGGGAAAACCAGAGCGACTCTGACGAACCACAAGAAGTCTGTCCGAACTCTGGTGCTGCACCCCAGACAGTAAGTGTTGTTTCATCAGGTAGTGTTGAGCTGGGGGCAGAACTGTTTTCAGGGAACAGAAAAGTTTTAACTGCAGTAGAAATAATGCAAAATAAAGAATTTTTAATGCCACTGAGAACCAAATGTAATTCTTTTTAATGCTATTTAAGGCCTTGATTTTCGCACAATCAATTTAATGACTATTGATGCTTTTTAACGCCCTGCGGAAACCCTGAGTAAAGTATTTATCAGAAACAGGACTATATCTGAGCGCAAGGATTATATCGAAACAAATAAAAAGTTGGTTAAAATTCATAAGATGTTGATATGATTATGATCCTCTGTGGTTTCCAGATACACATTTGCTTCTGGATCTGCTGATAACATCAAGCAGTGGATGTTTCCAGATGGCAACTTCATCCAGAACCTGTCGGGGCACAACGCCATCATCAACACTCTGGCTGTTAACTCTGATGGCGTGCTGGTGTCTGGAGGTAGGAACGCCTGTTTTCTCCATCGTGTCTGTTGAGGTTAATGTTACCTCTGCTGATGACAGCATGGCTTAGAAGCATATCGAGCTCAGAGTTGGCATTCATTACTCATATTACGTCTCCACTCTGTAGCTGACAACGGAACCATCCACATGTGGGACTGGAGGACAGGCTACAACTTCCAGAGAATTCATGCAGCTGTTCAGCCTGGATCTCTGGACAGCGAGTCAGGAATCTTTTCCTGCGTGTTCGACCACTCAGAAAGCCGACTGATCACCACGGAGGCTGACAAGACCATTAAAGTTTACAAAGAGGATGACACTGCCGTAAGTTCAACTATCACATTTAAAGTGAGTTTCTTTATCAGGAACCAGAAGGATCACTGACTGTTTTCTTTCTTACAGACCGAAGAAAGTCACCCAGTCAACTGGAAACCAGAAATCCTCAAGAGAAAAAGATTCTGAAGATTTTTTTATTATTGTTTTTTTCTGTTGTCACAGTACCCGTTTTAAATTTCATTTCTACCAACTTCTGTTGTAGCTGTACGCAGCAGGTTTTGTTTGCTAGTGCTTTCTTTATGAAGCAAACTTTCCCTCAACTAATGCGACTTTGACAAAAGCACCCACATATTGTTTGCCTCTTCATTGTATGATGTCAGTCCCATAAAGCTGCCGTTCTGGACTGCCAAGAACCTGACAGAGCGTTTGTGCTCGATGATGACAGCTCCTCTGGTTCTGGTCCATCTGGTCTACTAGCAGAAGCCCCTCTTCATTTTGAGAAGGACAGCGTTCACAGTGGACCTGGTTGCTGTTGGAATCAAACGCTGCAGCAGCAGAGACAACGTGTGTCAAAATTGTTTCCAAAAAATTGTTTTGTATTGACTCAACAGAATTGCCAGCTGTACAGACGTGGGAACAGACTTGTTTCTGGCCTGGAATGTGAAGTTTATTTTGCTCCATTTTAATAAAGACCACATTTTTCACATACTTGCTTTTGTTCAGTAACTTCCCGAGGTATCTGTTGGTGACGACGCTCCGGTAGAACCTACAGCCGTTATCCTTCATCTCCTCCCAGTAACACTGATTTTCAGACGTGTCATTGAGCTCCACTGTGTTTCTCTAAACTAGTCATTTTGTCCCAGTGGTCCGAGTTAAACTGGATAGTTGAACAGTTTTTA